CAGATGCAAGTGAAAGCAGCATGAGTTTCCCAGGAGTATTTTCCATTTCTATGAGCAATGCCCTCCTTGGAAACATGCTGTCAGTTCATAATTTACATCCAAATCATATATATTGGGTGTTAGCTAAAAGAAAGCTGAATCCCTCCCCTCCCATTAATTAAGCTTTGAATGGGAAAGTTACCTTACATTTGTCGAATGGGAACCCATATTAACCAAAATGAGAGGAGTAACAGGATGTGGAAGCATTAAGCTGCAACATAAACAAGTGACCGTAATGGAGGCAGGAGAATGGGAGAAATCACCACCATTGCTTTTGCCCATTGACAGCAAGCATTGTAGAATAATATGTAGAATCAGTGGAGAGCATCTTTTATACATAGGGTCTACTGTATATATTCTTCTGGAGTCCTCCATTTAGTGAAGCAAAAACAAAAGCAGCTGTTTCTTTTCCTCTAAATTTAACTGCAACAACTCACACTCTACACTAGAGACAAGCAGGGAGTGTTCAATGTTCTCTCCTCCTCCTCCTCTCTTGAATGGGAATATTGTAAGATTTCATGATTTGACAAGAATGGGAAACCTAAGCTTCTTGCTTATTTATTTAAGAGATTTATTTAAGATCACTTCTCATCTGATGAGCCACAACTCTCACAGCCACAGCAATTAAGAATATTAGAAAACAATAAAAACAACACACACACCCCCAAAAACCCAGAGTCCCAAACCAACTATGCCCTGTATATTAAAAAAAAAAACCAAAGTCGTAGGTTAAGCTTCACCTCATCATAATGCTGGGGGTGGGTTGGGGCAGCCAGTGTTATCTCAATAAAGCAATTACAATCTCTGGGTTGGAAAGTGTAATTGAGGCTGTCCCAATTTCCATCAGAGCACATTAAGTGAAGAGGAGGGAACTACATCTCCAAATCATTTATTCTACTATGAAATGGCTCTTATTATTAGAAAACAAAACACTTCCTAACTTTCAGTATAACCTCAATCTATTATTCCATGTCCTTTCTAGAATAAGAGCAGGCCTCTTCTATGAGTTGTACTTTCACATGTTGGAAGTGTGCTATTCTACTGCTAAACCTTTTGGAAGACATTTCTATTCTTCTGGCTGACAAATATAAGTGTTACTTTAGTTCAAATCCAGGGGGAAAGAGAGTGCAGAGTTTGGAAAAAATGCAAAAGAACACTGCAAGATTGAACAAAAGAGCAAAATTTAGGGGCTCAAATCCTTCATTATGCTCCAGAATAAGAGACCACACCATTAAATTCAGTGTAACTTATTTTTGAATAAGCATTCAAAGCTTTATACTTGCTGAGCCCAATACATTAACCTTTTGAACTTTCCAAAGTTTCTTTTTCCATCCTTCTTTTCTCCATCCTACTTCTGTTACATTTTATCCCCTTTCTGTACTTTTCCCCTTTTTTCTTTTTCCAGCATTGCTTCCATTTACCTCATTTCCATTCTCTTTTCTTTCTCCCTTTTTTCCTGTTTCTGCTGGAACACGTTTGAATGATACGTACATTACTTTTTTAATTATTTCACACTTAATCGCTTTTAATTAGCAAGGATACCTTCAATTAACTTTAATTTTTAGAACTCCTTTTGGAATGTAAGGTCTGATCAATGAACATATACACATGAATGTGCACACAAACAAGTGTGTCACATGTACATATTTGATGGGGTGGGAAAAAAATTTCCAGGATTAGTCTCAACAAAAGTTATCAAAGTTATAGGTGATTAGGTATGGAAGCTAGACATTTGGGGAGCTCTTATAATATTGTTATGTTTAATGTTTCTTTGAGGTTGAACTTAGTCTATTTTTTTTTAGTTTTATCTTAAAGTCAAGGTCCATTTGGAGATGTATGGTAACTCTCATAGAGTTTTTTCCATATTTTTCCAGAAGCTCACATGGATAGCATACCTAAGTTTTGATGCTCTGCATTAAGGATATGTATCCTATTCCATTAAGCCCTTAGCTATCAGTTATAATCATTTAAAATATATGTGTCACTTATAAGGAAAGAGTAAGAAATCTCCAAATAAGTAAGACCTAGTTACCAACTCAAGAGCATGGACTAAGGACATGGCAGCAAACTGGAATTAAGGAGAAACTTCTTAACAGTGAAACTTGCCTTCAGAAGTTGTGGGTGCTTCATCATTGTGAGGTTTTAAGAAAGACCAGACATAGTCTGAAATAGTACAGGGTCTCCTGCTTGAGCAGGGGGCTGGACTAGAAAACTCCAAGCTTTATTCTGATGGATGGGTTGATTGATTGATTGACCTGCAATAAAATGAGCCACTGTATCCACTTGATCGTCATCATAGCAACCAAAAGCAATTGAGTAAACTATTCAAATCTTTTTCATCTTCTCCAGATGTGATGGATGCTAGTGGAAATGATGCTGTCTGCCACAAACATAAGTTGTCTGGTAGAATGCTAAATAAAGCTACCAGTTGGATGTTGAAATATAATAAAGACTGAGATCTGTATATAAAATCTATAGTATGAAAAAGGGTCCAGTTATGTAACATGAAAATATTAGATTAATTAGCATTTGTGATTTTTAATTTGATATGCTCCTCTGGTTCAGTGAGATATGTCAAAAAAGGAAATATACTTTTCTTATATTATTTAATAAGTCAAATAAGAAAAGATATGGAATTCCTGTTTCAATAAACTTACTAATTTATCTTCTGAACTACCCAAAGAACCTTTTCCCAATATTTTAGGTGAATATTGGAGATTAATCTTTTATTATCCAGGGAAATAGCTCATTGTAAAGCTTAAAAAGTAATGCTATGGAATCTGTTATTTTAAGATATGAAAGAATAAACCATAACAAGCTGATTAGTTGATCGCTGTTGTTGAGCAGAAAAAGGTTCACTATTTGCATTGTAAGTCTGCACCATATCGTAATGGTCATACTTTATTATTACACTAAACGACATATTCTGGCTTTGAGTCTATGGCGCATTGTAATCTTAGCTATTAGAAACTACACAGCTAGAAAAAATACTATTTTTCCTAAGTTTATAAATTACAAATATTAGTTTAAAGTAAGACAACAGGTGGATGCATTCAACAAAAGGAAGCAGAAATTTGCCACTACTGTAATAAGAATATAAATAGAAGCAACAATTAATTTGTACTTTGTATATAAAATAATTTGCAATGTACATATTAATACGTAATGAAATAATAATCTATCCATTTCTGTTTTTACAGTAGTTTTCAGAATGTTATAATATACCTTTCATATATGTGTGTTTGTGTATAAATGCACATAGGTACATATATACACCATAATAAGTTCATGAACTAAAATGACACAATACATGTCTTATTCAGAAAACAGCCCAAAATCTTAATAATCCTCTAACCTGCTTTGCAACTGACAGTCTAAGAAATAATATATCCTGATAGACTCTTCAGGGGTTGCTTTAGCAAATAAATCAATATATTTTTGTTGGCATTGTTACAAGTAACGTTCTATTCAATACAGATTTCACAACTATGAAAAAAATACAGTTAAAGCAGGCTCTTTTATAAGTAGTAGTCAAATTAATAGAACGTAATTAGAAAATATAGAATCTCTTCCAAATCACAATAATTTAAAAAAGTGAGCTGCAAGACATTTTAGTTGCATTCTAAATAAAATATGAACTCCGATGACCAGCATTAGTAATTGAGAAATGTTTCAATACCATGTTAAAAAAACTGGAGCAGAGGGGGTCAGGTGCAAAGTAACTGAATGTCAACAGCTTGTCCCACTGAGGTGTATAAGAAATATTACCTTTTGTCCAGGAAGAGCAAACAATTACCATATGCTCCTGGTAAAAACCTACAAGTCATAATTAGCAACTACAGTGATGATTAAGCATTCACATATTCCAATTCACGAGATTTGTAATTCTTTATGATCGACTTAATTTCCATTTCAGCATTTAAGAAAAATAAAGACACAAGAGTAATTAATATATGTAAAAGCTACAATAATTAAGAAGGTATCTGGATAAATTTTTCCTACCACTTTCTTGTATCTTTTCATTTCATATACAAAACATCCTAAATAAATATAATTTTCAGACAAGAAAGATTACTTCCAGCTTTTACCCCAAGCTTAATCCAAGAATCATAACAAATTGAAATTATACACATACATTAAATTTGAATTAAATCACACCTCATGAATTTCTCAAATATTTCTCTTACATCTTCCAAATCAACACTGTGTGGTATTGCAGTGTTTAATGAACAAGAGAAAGATCTGCATCACAAAGATAATTGCCTATGAATGATCAAGCTAATGTCAATATGTAGGAAACAACCTGCTCATAATAAAGTACTGGAAGGTTAAAAAGCAAGTATGGTGAGGATGATCAGAAGCAAAAAAGAAGAAGAAAAGTTCACAAGCACGGTAAGTCTATCCAATCCCCAGTTGGGAGTCCAAGGCCCACACACAAGTTGCAAACCCCTAAATTTTATATATCAAAATCCCAATTCCAAGTTAAAGCATGGGACTACCCAGAGCATGGACAGCCACTTTATTTCCCCTTCGTCCATTAACTCCCTAAAAATAAGAATATAAGGCACATTAAAACGAACAAAAAATATCCCCCACTCCTCTCCAGGCACCTTATGGGGATCATTAGGGAGCTCTCCCCCCACTTCACATCCAATTTCCTTTCCATTCTTAACCCCCCTCCCAGTGCAAATCAGACCCACTTTTCCATTTCAACTCCACCAATTCACTACAGCCACTATCAGAGAAGAAAGGAGGGGGATGAGAGGGGATATATAAAGAAAGCACAAAACAGGCCGGGGGAGGAATCACACACACATACAGTCTCACACATAAGACATATTACAGTTTTCCCCGCTTTGCACACATTCAGTGATTCAGCTCAATGGAGCAACTCCAGGCCGGTTTCTCGATGGGAAAAAAGGGGGGAAGGGGGGGGTGTTGCACATTACAATCATATTCACCTGGGCTGTGGAGGGCTGTGGTAGTGGTGATGGTGTTGCTCTTGCTGCTGGAGGTTGTTGTTGTGGGTGATGATGAGGATGGGGGTGAGGCTGGGGGTGAGGAGGAGCAGCAGCAGCAGGAGGAGGTGGTGATGGTGGTGAAGGAGGAAAGGAGCCGTTGTTGTTGATGGGTAACAGTCGCCAGGACTACGGTGACTATGGCGCTTGATTCACAAGGCAACGGTTGCTATAACTCACAAAAGGGAGAGAGCGAACGAGAGAGCGAGAGGAGGAGAGGAGGCGGTGGCCCAGCCTCACAGGCCCGGAAGAGGCGGGGCTTTCAGTATGAATGATAAGTCCTCTTCCCCCCTCCCTCCCGTCGGGCTGAAGAAGGGAATGGGGGGGGGGAATCTTACACGGCGGAGGGGGGGCGAGAAAGAGAGGGGGGAATTAATGTGGGTTTTCTTCAGTACATCTGCGTGTGGAGGAGGAGGAGGAAGAGCGCGTGTGTTCCCGAGGAACAGTTGGACTGCACGCGGCTTCCAGAGCAACACGCTCGCTCGGCACAGCCGCTTCAGCGCGCGCTGCAATCAACTCCCTTTCAACGGGAGGACATCCAAGGGGCGGGGACTACGATTCCCGGCTCCGGCGTGCTGGTGGTGTTGCGGGGGGAGGGAAGCCTGGCAAGGATCCTTTTATTATTGCGGGAAGGCGGGGGGGGGGGAGAACTGTAGCCGCGCTGATTATCGAATATCCCGTCCGCGAAGAGCGGCTGAGCTGAAAGGTGCAGCTTTGCGGTTAATTTTAGGAGAAGGTCTTTTCTTTGCCCGCTTTGGCACTTCGGAGCCGCCCGGAAGAAGGCGCGTGGGGAGACCGTTCTCGCCTCGGGGCCTGGTTTCTCCCTGTTCTCTCTCTTTCTCTCCCCCCTTCCTGCTCCCCGCCCTTTTAGGGGCGTTAAAATGGCTCGGGTTGACTAGTGTCGCCGCCGCCGCCATCTTACGCGGGGAAAGTGCGGCAACCAGGAGGCTGGAGGTCTCCTGTGTGGTTCTCAAATGCGGGGGATGGGCAGAAGCCAAACCGCCCTTTTCCTGGATGGGGAGGGTGGGGGCTTGAGGGAAGAGGCGGGGCCTCCGCGCTCGCGGCGGGGAGGAGGGGTTACCACTCGGCCCGCCCCTCCCTCTCCTCAGGGTGGCTGCAGGGCAAAGATGCCCTCGTGAGATGCGAGGCGACAAGGTCGCCCGAGCTACAGCCGGTGCTAACGAGGCAAAAGCACCAAGATAAGGCGGGGGATCCCTATTTCTCGGCCAGCTTTATTTTACTAGGCCCCCACGATGGGAGGCAGGAGCTCTTTTTGCTGTCTTTTTTTTTCTTGATACTTTTTTGTGCTGCTTTCTCCAGGGAAAGCAGCCCAGAAAAGAGAGCAATGCAGGTAGACCTTGACTTACGACCACAATTAAGCCCAAATTTTCTGTTGAGACATTTGTTAAGTGAGTTTTGCCCCATTTTACGACTTTCCTAGCCACAGTTGATAAGTTAGTAACTCAGTTGTTAAGTGAATCTGGCTTCCCCTCCAATTGACTTTGCTTGTCAAAAGGTTGCACGTGACCTTAGAACACAACAACGGTCATAAGTATGAACCAACTGCCAAGTATCTGAATTTTGATCACATGATCATGGGGAATGCTACAATGGTGGTGACTGAAAAATGGATCATGTCACTTTTTCAGTGTTGTAACTTCAAACGGTCACTAAATGAACTGTTAAGTTGACTACTTTTAGTTTCTGGCATTTGGCATTCATCTGCCATCTCGGCAGTTTCCATCTCTGCCCATGTTCCAAAGAGAAGGCCAAAAAAAAGTGATCCAGGCAATATAAAAACTTGAAGAAAGGATCACTTTTTAGCTTCCCCTGAAATCACAATTTTGACATCTGCTCATTAATGTGAAATAAAAAAAGTATTACCTCCTATAGCTCAACTTGAATCACAAATACAAATGACCCTATTTTATCCATATTTCTGGATTTGGAGACTGGAATGCTGTGAAAGGCAAGATGTAGATCGGATGAGAATAAATAAAATAATACAACCAATATAGTATTGACTCTGTTTTTGTTTTTCCAGGAATGTTTACAGTAGTGTGAGCTATGTATGTATGCATAACAATAAGTTAGGGTTGAGCATAAACGGTGGTATAAATAGGAGATATTCAAAAAATGAAGTGCATTTTTGCATAGCTGTAGGAGGATCTTCTCTCTTTTTCCTGGCTTGAGGCTGTTATTTGGACTGGATTTGGCTCTTGTTATCTGACTTCAGAAGGCATTAAAAAGAATCCAACGAAGAACAACTCTGCATGTTGTCACACTGGTGGTGAAATGTTAGGAAGAATTGGTTTTGTATTATTTTGTAAAGAAAGGAAGGGAACTTACTAAGTGTTCAAAGACCTGTGGTGTTGCGTTAAGGATGGGAACAAGCTGTTCTTTCTAGGGCATAAGAGGTTTTCAGATCAGACAAATAAAAATTCAGTAGAACAGTGTTGCTTTTTTGTTGAGAATAGTGAGCTTTGGATGCAAACTGGATCATTTGCTGCATTAATACCACTTTTAAAGAGCAGATTTTAGAAGTAGCTGATTTCTGATGGCACAGTTAGTCCTCAGGACAGAAGAGCTGTCTATGTTTTACATTTACTTCCAGCATGGTCTTCTTTAGCTTGATATTTGTTTATTTATTTTGTGACTATCATGAGTTTGACTAGATGTAAGTACATCTATTCCATGTAAAATTAATCTCATTCATAACATAGGGTCTGGTCCAAGCCTACAATACTCTGAAATATTCTGTGTCCTAAAAATCAGGATGACTTCCTCCCTGTTCATATTTTGGAGGGAATCAATACCACAGATTCTTCAGAGAATGAGTGTTTTAAGTGTACTTCTTTGCCAATTTTACCAAACCTAACCTTACAAAACCCTGGTAGAGCATTTTTCATAATCAGCTTCTCCTTAGTACCCACTACTAAAAACTGCAAAGAAAAGAAAAAGGGTCTTAAATTAGTTCCTACCTTTGCTGTAATGTCACCAACTTTCTGATGCCATCATGTGCTGCCTTTGAAATAGCCAGGGGAATGAATGTAGTTCCAATCTTTGGGAAGTTGATTACTGCTACCCTATCAGCACAAGCTTATAGAATATTTTATGCCTTTCACTGGGAAAACTAGTAGTACAATGCTCCACAAGGTTGGCAATGTAAGTTGGGGAACAGGTGTATCAATGTTTGTAGGAGTATGAAGCAAAAATCAAAATAATCTCCTGAGAGCCTCAATTTAGGTAAGTGGAGGGATATAAATATAGTAGTAGCTTTTAGTTTTGTTGTTTTCCATTCTAGAATAAAATCCAGTATTGTTCACAATACTATGCTGGGGCTTAGCAGTTACAAACGCTGAGCTTGTCAAGACTCGAGTGCCTCATGACAGGGTGAGCTCCCGTTACTTGCCCCAACCCCTGTCCACCTAGCAATTTAAAAGCATGCAAAAGCAAGTAGATAAATAGGTACCACTTCAGTGGGAAAATAACAGCATTCTATGCACCTCGGTGTATAGTTATTCTGGCCACATGACCACGGAAGTATCCTCATATAACGCTGCCTCCCTCAGCTAAGAAATGGAGATGAGCACCACCCCCTAGAGATGGACATGACTGGACCGGGGTCATTTTTACCTTTACCTTTTTATTGTTCATATGGAAGAGATAAGACCACTAGAGCACATAGAACCACTTTTATTGAAAAGATGCAGTCTTGGATTTAGTAGGAACAATCTCAATATTACATTATGCAGCATTTCTCATCATAATTAGATCTCAAACCAATGTAGTGATTGGAAATTAGAGGAGAGCTATGGGGGTTTTTTCCATCTGAAAACCTTTCACTAACAATATATTGCATACATAGGTTATACTATAACACAGTCAGATGGCAACAGTGAGATTCTTTAGTTATAACAGGCAGAATCCTACAGCAGGAAATAAAAAATGGCCTTTTTTCCCCTGCCAAAACTGCATTAATATCAGTCAACCCGTATTGCATGAAGCTACATATGCAGAAGTAGAGCTTAAATGGAACTAATCTGAACTTCTGCCTGGGAAGATCAGCACCAGCTGCATAGGGACAGCACTCTACATGGCTCACAGATGTTCCGTTCAGGAAACTCTAATCACTTTTGCCAATATTTTATCTCGTATTAGGATCTATAGACTTTAAAACATTCTGAAACTCTTATCATTAATTTATCTGCTCCTTTCCAACTGAATTACCATTGTCTTCATTGTATATTCTATTGTATTGTTGAAGCATAAAACCTCTCTTTGATTTATCAGATCCAGAATTCATCTTGACTATGACCTTGAGCTGCCAGAATTGAATTGTATAAAATTAAATGCATGCCCTATTTTTGTTGAAACAGTCATTTCATGTTTGAATAATGCCTATGTATAAAACCAATAACTTATGTTTCACAATGCCAAAAAACTGTCTTATGACATCAGCTCATTTATTCATCTGTCTCAGAATATCTACCTTAATTATTGTGTTTTTGCAATTTTAGATGGGAACCTGTACCAATATTACTTGTAGATACTAGGGATTGAAACTTTTATTCACATATGTCAACCGCAGCCCTTCCTTCACCACTTATTTAATATGGAAATAATATCTAAATTCCTAATAATGTCCACCAGCCCAAAGCCCTCCCTCTAAAATATGTGCAGACTTTTAACATGACTTTTTTTCTTGATGTTTACTATGCATTCAATCAAATGGCATGGTTTGTCATAGCAAAAACACAACTGCAAATTTTTGTGATTTCCTTGGATTAAAAATAATAATTTTAGAGAACTTTTAATAATAGAGAACTTTTTGGTTTGAATAGAGCATACAAAAATAAAACAAGGTTCTAAATTTAAATGTGAAATCAGTAATGAATTCTTAACGGAGTTTCAATTAACATGAAATAAAAGATGTGGTTAATGATTTTATAATTACTTACTAGCTATAGTTAAAATACAAACATTTCCTTAGATAAAACAAACTTAAATTTACATTTTGTCAAATAAAAGCTACTTAATTTGGAGGAAATTGCATAATCTGATTAACATTCAGATGTCACAAGCACAGATTTTTTTCTGTCTTGCATACAAATAATGTAGTCTGCCTA